TCATTAGTAAATGCGGTAGATATATCAGGTTAGAGATACAATGGTCCCCTTAAAAACTACGACAGGAGAAATGACTGATGATGAGTTAGAAATGTGTGTTAAATAGTCATTTTGCTCCGTATTCACAAATGAAAACCTAGCACAGTTTCCGAAGTTCATAATATATAACGATGTGATAGAAAATATATTGATGAATATCAATATTACTAGTAACGATGTGCTTAAAGTAATTAACAAACTGAAGCTCTCATAAACTCTGGTCCAGACGAGGTATATGCTAGAATATTAAAAGAATGTAGAGATGAGTTGAGTAATCCATTAGCAGTTTTATTTTATAAGTCATTAGAATCGGGCCTAGTGCCAGATTCTTGGAAACTTGCAAATGTAGTTCCGATTTTCAAAAGGGTGATAAATCAATAGCATCAAATTACCGTCCCATTAGTCTCACGTCAATCATAGGCAAGTTGTTAGAGTCAATTATTGCTACAAAATCAGAAGCCACCTTGAAACATTCAACTTAATTCATTCTTCTCATCACGGTTCACCCAGGGACTTGTCTCTACAAATTTGCTAGCTTTTTCTCAGTAAGTATATGAAGCGGTAGATATGATAAGTCATATGATATAATTTATTTAGATTTCAGTAAAGCATTCGATAAAGTCCCTCTGAGGAGATTGATAAGGAAGGAAGCACATGGAATAGGTGGATCAGTATTAAAATGGATTAGGTCATGGTTAACTGTAGGAAACAAAGAGTCAGCATAAATGGATTAAGTCAGACTGGGGGGTCAAAAGCGGAGTTCCCAGGGATCTGTAGTAGGCCCTATGCTGTTTGTTATATTCATTAATGATCTTGATTTAGGCATAACTAGTAGGATTAGTAAATTTGCAGATGATACCAAATGGGAGAGAGGATAAATTCAGACAGTGACTTTGAACACCTTCAAAGAGATCTAGATACCTTACATGAGTGGTCAGTAGACTGGCAAATAAATTTAATACTGATAAATGCAAGGTACTACAGATAGGGAAGACGAATACAAACGTTGTATAAACTAGGTAACACGGAAATAGAAAACTCAGTTTGTGAAAAAGATCTAGGTATTTGTTAGCAACGACTTGAAACCTAGAAAAACAATGTATTAGCGTTCGCAACAAGGCAAACAGGATTCTTGGGTTCATATCCTAGGTCTGTGGAGTAACAGAACTGCTGACGTTATCTTGAAACTTTACCTAGCATTAGTGAGGCCACACATGGATTATGCGGTTCAGTTCTGGTGTCCTTATTATAGAATGGACATAGATTCTTTGGAGAGAGTACAAAGAAGAATGACAAAAATGATCCATAATATTAGAAACCTTCCATATGAAGAAAGACTGAAAAGCTTAGGCTTACATTCATTAGAGAGACGTAGAGTTAGGGGAGATATGATAGAGGTGTACAAGTGGGTAAGTGAGATTAACAAGGGTAAAATGGAAGATGTTCTGAAGCTCAGTAATAACGAAATAACTAGAACAAATGGCTTTAAATTAGATAAATTCCGATTCAGAAAGGATATAGGCAAGTACTGGTTTGGTAATAGAGTTGTGGATATGTGGAATAGACTACCGAGTGCTATAGTAGGATCGGGGACGCTAGGGAGCTTCAAGACGAAATTGGATAGGCACATGGAAGTGCTGGGATGGGTGTGAAAGGGATCTGCCCTGTATGGGCCAGTCGGCCTCCTGCAGTATCCCACTTTCTTATGTTCTTATGTTCTTATCTAAATTTTGTCAAGCTCAAATAATCCTTGTCACCACTGTCATACACCCACCAACCCACAGTCATACAGCAGTATCCCACTTTCTTATGTTCTTATGTTCTTAAATGGAAGTGTTTATTGTATTCCATGTAGCAAATGTAATTGTAATTATGTAGGACAGACAGGAAAAACACTGCAGCTCAGAATCAAACAACATAAGTATAATATCCACGTTTTCATTGTGGATCTACATGAAATAGAAATAGAAATATATATATATATATATATATATATATATATATATATATATATGTGTGTGTGAGTGTAACCGGTCGGAATTCTCTCACTTAAATATTTGGGGTTTTGAGTAAGTGGATGGTAATGCAGTGGAAGCGCCCCCCAGAGAAAAATCCCGTCCCAGCACAAACACAATTAATTTAAAAAGTATTCTCCGTGACCCGTGGAAAGTTTGCACCTCTGATTGGGGTAAATGAGACGCACTGTAAAAGAGTGACACTTCTATTCCCTCCAACACTACAAACACAATCAATAATGGTACATCAACATTTGTACACCTCTTAGCATGGCTTAAAACACTGCACTGGGGAACAAAGGTTATACATGATATAAAAAATATT